TAATGTTTAGCCCGAATCGCGATTCAGCGTATGTCGGCTCGCATTAGCCGCGGGTTTGCAGTCTTTTCTTGGTTTAAAGCGTTCAAACATGGGATATTATGTTGCTCCCATGCATTAGGGTGGGTGTCAAGGTCACCAGAAGGTCAGGTAAGGTCATTGACCTTGATGACCTTGGTTCACTTTTTCGAGTTTTACATGTTTCTAGGCTAGTTTTTGGAGCTGAATTCGAATCTAGCAACCATTTGAACATTTACTATGTAGCTTTGGTGCCTTCGTAACATGTTACAAAGCTGTCAGAGGCGGTTACCACCTACTGCAAATACCCGGCAAAACCCTTACTGGTTGACCTGACCTGACCTGACCCGACCTGGCCTAAATGCATGAAGACATCATCTATGATCGTAAATAACATTATATTCGTGATCAGCACCCAAAAAACCCAAAGCAGCCACCCTTTACGACGTTCTAACAGGTCCCGATTTTCCCGACTTTTGGGTCATTAGCCTGACCTGGAAGGTCAACCGATGACCTAGGACCTTACAATTGGGTATTATCAGCTTCCTCTTGTCACGGGCAACACGCTCGTCTTTTCCGCGAAGCTCTAGCTCGATCAGGGGCGAAACGGCGGGGGGTGGTCCAACGGACCCCTTCTATACGTTCGCGGCTGGAAAAACACCACTAGGGGCGAGGGTTAAGCCAAATCTGAGGGCCTATTTCAGAAAGACCGCTAAAAGAGCAATTGAATGCACTTTTCCGCGACGATGTAGCTCTATTGGTCCCCGAGATAAGGGCCGGTTTTCGCGAAATGTTGATATATGCAACATTTTACCTTTGATGACCTCTGGTGACGTGACCTTTGACCTGACCTAGAAATGACTAATTACTCCATCTGGAATTTCGGGCGCTCTTTCGAATGCCACTTACTACGTGTCGCTATGTGGCCCAAGAGCCGAGTTAGAAGGGGGAGTGTTCAATCAACACCTCCCGGCCCGGCGTGTTTGACGCCGAGCACCGGTCCGGCGCGGGTTGATGTTTGGCTGCCACATCCAAAGTCGCAAAAAGTCGCAAAAAATGACTGTTGGATCTTGTAGTGCAATGAATCATTGACATGTAGCGAGATTTTCGAAGCGGTACTCTGTGGTACTTTTTTTAAAAGTCTATTTGTGTGTGACATCAATTATGTGAAATTATATTTTCGTCTTTAAATCTTTGCGGTGCCAATACATCATAACCAAGTAAGAGTTCGCCATTTTCATGTGGTTATGTGTGTTCTGCAGACCCGGAGCTATCGTTTGATGTATATAAATGTGGAATTCCTCCTCAAATTGTTTTTTTTTTCTAAGCCGCCGCCCATGATCAGACGACCAGGAGTGTCCACCCACTGACCCACGCGACAACAGCACCTTACGTTAACACCTCCCAAGACAAAAATATGAAGAAAGTCGCGACACTCCCTGCTAAGAAAAGGAAAGCAAACAAAAACAAAGCTAAATACAATACTTAGTAAGTTAGTAAAATGTCATAAGAAGAGGCAAAGAAGTCAAGACTAAATGTAGCTTGACTGGCCGCTACACCATTCCCAAAGAAGATAGTAAGAAGGAGAGAGTGATCCAGGGGTTAGTGGTAATAAGCGCATGCAAAGCTTGCATTATAGAAGAGGGACAGAGCCTAGTCACACCCGGAGGAGTCAGATCCTCACCGAAAAGGGATACCGAGCTAAGCAAGCTTGTTGCTCGGTAAACCCAGGTCGGTGGGAAGTATCGTAAGGCTGATTTACGTATTGTTACGCATCCAGGAGAACTTAAGTGTGACTGGTAAGTACACAAAACAAGACGAGACGACCGGTATGCAAATAGCAGGTAATGTAAATAGCAAGAAAGCTAGGTCATTGAGCGATGGCGATGATTCAAAGACATACAGTTAGTACTGTACGTACTGTATGATGTTTATAGGGAGAAAAAGCAAAGCTTAACAAAAAGAAAAGGGCAAAACAAAAATGTGGGATAAAAGTTCGAGAAGACAAACAGGGAAAAGACATAAGGACCACTAAATACCACCACCTCTTGTGGCGATCTAGGTACCCAGTTAGAACATACCTACCCAGTTACAGAGATGTACAATGTTCCAAAATTAGGTATGCATAAGTGATATGCATTAAAGACAAATTCTGTAATTGTGTACATATAACTATGTACTGTGCAAGTATGTACCTGTGAGAGAGCGGGTAAAAAATACATTATTAGGTAAATGTACGTACATACCCACAATAAATAAAATGGGGGATCATTTCATTGGCAGGTATTCGTATGTTTACGAACGCAGGTGGAACACAAGAACAATATTGTCAGTATTGTGATTGTTTTCGTGGATCAAAGATACGTTGTCGAAGAGTGCTGGGGACGAGTTCGGTCCAAACGATTCCGAAGTTCGTGTTTAAGCTGAGTTTTCGCCATGAAATAGCAATTGTGTTGGAAAACAAAGACCACAGCAATGTAGTATGATCATTTTTGAACAAATTGGTATAGGTTTCATTGCACATCCACAAAGTTCGATTTTTTTACCCATGTCGTGCTAGACCTGGCGATCGGCCCAGTGTGCGGCGGCCGGCGCAGTGTCCTCGCCAGGCCGGGCGGGCTGTGTTTGCTTACTCGACCGCTGGGGCTTATTTAGCCTCCAATTGGCGCCCGCACCCTCTGTGGCCGGCTCCCTCATATGCCGGGCACCTCCAGGAAACGGGGGTCGGTTGCACCTCTAACGCCAAGCGTTGATGTATTTTGTATGTTCCTCGCTCAAGACTGAGAAACTTGAAATATATCTCGGATTTTCTGAAGGGTCGCCTGAGATCAGGTCGGTCTCTCGCCATTAAGTCAGGGAGAATATGGGAATTGCTAGGTTTAGTTCGGAAATGATCTACAACTATCTCAAATTCTCAAGCACACGGAATCGTGATTTCAAGCGCTCCTTGCAAGGTCTGATGCTTCTCTTTTGCTTTGTTGATCTTGCGTGCCGTCATTTATCACGTTACTAAGGCTATCAGTTTTTCGTCAATAACTCCCGATCAACTAAAGCTACCGAGTCGATAAAGCCACTAATGGACATGGAAAGACCTGCCGAATCGATTGATATGCAATATGACCTCCTTTGACCAGCTTCGTGACCTGACGGGCTGTTACCTGACCTTGACCCGAGGTTAACACCTTAAGTTGATCTCACCCGAAGGAAAAGTATACCATTCGACACGCCTGAGCTAGACAAACACGATGCTGCTAAAATCGCGGATCTGCGATCATTTTTAGCGAAGTTATTTACCAAAAACCGAACCTGTGCCTTGGGGCCACTTGACCTGACCTCAGAAGTCATCGGCTAACCCTAGTCCTTAAAATCGGAGACCAATCGCTGCATTTCGTAACGACACACACGATCGTTTCTTTCGTGAGGCTCTAGCTCAATTAGGGGCGAATCGGCGAAGGGGGTTGTTCCCTCACTTCCAACCCCCTAACGCCCCCTCGGTATTCAGAAAACCTGAAGGTCCGATGAGGGTTAAAACGTTGCTCCTGAACGAGGAAGAAATGTAAAAGTTAAAGCTCCCTACACGTCCTGTAAAAGTGGCCATAATAAATAAATTGGTTAGAGATAATATGCTTTTTAAATGACTTCCCCATATAAAATCGGGTGCTGGGACCAATTTTATAAACGCTTTAGAATGGACAGGGCGTCACTGGCTAAAGTTTGGGTGCAGAAAACGGCTATTAGGTACCTAAATGCAAAATGGTTTTCATGCATTTCAGTCAATTGTATATTGTCGGTCCCAGTGGCCGAGCTAAAAAAGTTCGGTAGTGTTTTGCATCTTTTACGTCCTAAGAAACTACACCATCTATTGAAGTGGGCGGGCTTATTTGAATGGGATGGCGCATTATGCACCAATCGTGTGCTTTCGTTTATTTTGGACTGTATTTTACCACATCCACTGCTGGTATCACTATTAATATTATCTTATGCCGTGAATACGACAGTATTCCATTTATGAGATCGGGCCAATGCCACAGTGGGGATTTTTCCGATCTAGCACGTATTTATTCGTAGAGGGTAAACCATAGGTAGAATTGTAGCCAGATTGTGCACAGATGTTGGCTGGTGTGTCCTGGTGAGAATTTTACCTGTAAATGTGCATAATCAACATAGTATAGGGGGTTCAATTGGACCCCCGCTCAGCCGTTTGGCCCCTGATCAAGCTAGAGCTTCGCGGAAAAGTCAAGCGTGCTGCCTATGACGAAATGAGGCCGAATATATACAATTTCAAAGTCCAAGGTCATAAGCTGACTTTCCAAGTCAGTTTAATAACCCAACTAAAGTTGGGAAATCGAGACCTCTTGAAACTTCGCAAAGTTAGGGTGTTACGGGGTATTTTGGGGTGCTGATCACGAATTTCATGTTAGTTTTGATCACAGACGATGTCTTTATGCATTTAGGCCAGGTCGGGTCAGGTCAGGTTAGATCAACTAGTAGGCGTCCTGCCGGCCATCCATAGAAGTGTCACCTACTACTGATAGCTTCGTAACATGGAACGAAGGCACCAGAACTACTTCGTAAATATTCAAATGGCTGCTAAAATCGAAATCAGCACCAAAGGCTACCCTAATAACAAGTAAAACTCGAAAAAGTGAACCAAGGTCGAGTTATGCGTTAGCTTCTTGGAAATTTTCGACATTCGACCTGGAAATCGGCGAATTTTTGCCTTCAATGACCTCTGGTGACCTGACCTTTGACCTGACCAAAAAATTGACCGAAGTGATTTCGTCATTATTTTTGACGCTCTTTCGAACACCGCTTTTCCTGTATAGCTACGTGGCCCAGGAGCCGAGTTAAAAGGGTGGTGTTTAAACATCCCCCCCAGCAGGGCGTGGAAATCCAGGACCCCCAGCGGGGCGTGGGTTAACGTGAATACAATGTAACATGAGTGCACTACTATAATTTCTGACCAGCTTCTGGCATTGTTTCAGGGCGGAGTGCGCTCCTATACCAGGGTTTCGCAAACCAGCCGGCCCTGAGGGCCTCACTCGGTTCGGCCTGGTGAGTTGTAACCTGGACAGTGGACACATTGTCGGCAGGCAGTGCTGCACTGAACGCTACAACATCTTTGAAAGCGACATAATTCCCGGAAAACTGGTCGCAATATGAACAAGATGCGCTTCACTTAACCCATCATTCAAGCAGGGATCGAATTATATCTCTTTGGGAGTGCCTGGTTACCTCAATGTTCCACAGAGCGCCACAAAAAGGACCGGAGCCCCCTTCCCCAAGGAAGGGTGGCCCTCTAAAAACAAGAATATTCCGAGACCCCAGGGTCGATGGCGCCCCTGAAGAGCGGCTGGCACCCAGTAGCGGCGGAGCGCCTTCAATTAAGGGTGAGGGGGGGGGGGCACTGCCGACTTTTGGTCCCATTCTTTCCATGCAACGCCCATACGGCTAATGTTAAGATGCCAAAATCAAAGGGGGGCACGGTGCCCCGGTGCTCTCCCCGTTCGGCCGCCTATGCTGGCACCCACCGAACGGAACAGTCGCCCAATTAACCCGCGCCCTGCCGGGGGGGGGGGTGTTTGAACACCCCTACCCCTGTGGTTTTTCGCGAATATCTCAGAAATGGAGGCGCGTAGTGCCACCGTTTCTGGCACACCTTATCACTCATCAATTCTACACATGTTGTGAAAATTTCAGACCAATGTCATTCAAGGTCAGGTCACCAGGTCACTTGAAGTGACCTCACCTCATAAAAAGTTTCACTATATGCCATTGCTAAACCGAGTGACCGATCGCTTTAAAGGGACCCTCCCACCTTCAAAAAAGTTAATGAATTGGCAAGAAAGTGATGTCGCTCGGTTCAGAAAGAGCAGAAACGATTATCTACCAAATTTCATCGAAAAATATTCACCGGTTTTCAAGATATTAGACTTTTGCTTTTGTTTACTTTTTGGGATCTCCACTGTTCCCAGCGACTTTATTTGAAAGTGCGGCATTTGTTGCGCGCAAAGCAGCATATACCACCGCGTGCTACAAAACGTTTTAGTCAAACATTTAAAAATCTTTAGATATCTGCGCTGACGTCACACATTCAGAGGGGTATTCCTATGCATTAGCCCCTCTGAATCAAAATGCTGCAATTTTGAAATTCAATATTTCCGATTTAAGGCATTTCTCGATGTTGTGAGTGCCGAAACCGGTAATTGTGAGCCAGGGACCCCATTTTGGCTATCTCAACTCAAATCTAATGTTAAGGTGGGAGGGTCTCTTTAAAGGAAAAGGGCCACCTTCGTGAAATATGAAGATATCGTTGTTTTTCATTTTGACATTATTATTTTTCATTTTCTTTTTAAAACTGGTGCCAGAAGTGCACAATTCGCGAAAAAGTATTTAAAACTATTTAACATATTGGTACTATGTTGATACTCTCTACGGCACCTACTGTATGATGGCATAGCGATGACGTCACACTCAAGCCAATCAGCGTTCAGAAGACAGACTCGTCGGATTGTGTCAGATAAGCTGATTGGTTAAAGCTGAGCTGGTTGGAGCTGATTGGTAAAAAACCAAAGCCTCGCCGCGGGTGGCTGTATTGTCGGATAAGAACGCATTCCTTGGATAAGGACGCATTCCTGGCGTATTTTCTTTTAAAATTGCCGATAACTACGAATGGAGGCCGAAATCGGCCGTAAGGAGGTAAACAGGTAGGTTTTCGGACACGGGCTACAAGATGGCTATCTCAGTTTCAATCCCCATGCTAAAGGTGGCACTTTTCCTTTAAAGCTTTCAGCGATTGCTCAGAGCCATAGTATGTACAAAATGAATGTCTCAGAACTTTGATATCGATGACCTAAGGTCAGGTCAATTTTGCGACCTCCCCATCATAACCCTCGCCGGACCTATTGGTTTTCTACATACGCGCCGGCCAAGGGGGGGGGGGGTACGATCAGGTCAGCGCCCCCAGGTCACGAAATTGGGCGAAGTAGGTCATGGCGCATATCATTCGATTCGGAAGGTCTTTCCGAGTTCATTGGTGGTTTTCCCGACTCGCTAGCGCAATTTGACAGGGAGTTATTGACAAAATACTATTATGACCCTAATGACGTCATAAATGACGTAACGCAAGTTCAACATTGCAAAAGTGACGCATGTACCCTTGCAAGGAGTGCATCAAATCATGATTCTGTGTGCTTGAGATAGTTGGAGATCCTTCCCTGCGCCAGAATAGCAGTTTTCATTTTTCCTCACTGACCTATAATGGTAAGGTCACGAAAATGACCTGACCTCATATGACATTTAGGAAAAATCTGAGATATACAAGCTGTGAGACTCGTAATGGATATTAGATCCTGCAAATTTCATTTCCCTGTGAAAGCTCCTGTGAAACTTATGACGTCATAGGTTAGTGACCTGACCTGATCCGAAAATGCAATTGGTGTCAAATGATCCGGCTTGAATCAAAGGTCAGGTATGCCAAGTTTCAGCTCTCTATCCCCAGCGTGTTTGGAGCTATCGCGAACCCCACTCGGCCGGCGAGGGATAAGTCAATGGGAGAAAACTGAAATGCGCCTCTTTTGGACGAAAGCCATTATAAACACAGTCCCAACCACTGAATTACTAGTAACTTGGACTGAATATGAAAATGGTGTCCGTGGCCCCTGTTAATCCCGCGCCCCACTGGGGTCTGTGTATAACGCGCCTTACTGGGGGGGGGGCTATTCATAGCCCCCCTCCTAACTCCGAAACTACTGGGCCGATCGTCAAAATTTAAACGGCATCTGATAGCCCCCGATAAAACTGTCGAACGAAACTTAATGTCATTGACCTCGAGATCACCAATGACGTCACAGGTCAGGTCAAAGTGAAAATTATCGATGTTCGGCTTGTTAACATTTTGGGCTCTGGATGCCGTCTTACAAGTCAGATCAGGCTGATTTTTGGTTTACACACTCGTGAACAGATGTTTTAGATACCCTGAGGGTACCAAACTTGTACTTTGATTTTCAGGTCAGGGTCAGGTCATCAAGGATCACGGAAATCCTATATCATAAGTCGGTCACGTGACACATATTGTGTGGTCAATTTAGCCCATAGATTTCGAATTCATTGTCGCCTGTGTCATTTGAGGCCATTTCATCTGAATATAGCTGAGTGATGCCTCCTCTAGGAGCGCTAGGCAATAACTTACCGGCCGCACAGACTCGTAACTGGGTAGCATCATGCGCACAGCCATGCTACACACGCTGAAACTTATCTCATCGGTTAGCCGCCATTACACACTTCTCAAGCTTCGATCACGTCGACGCTTACGTGTGTTGCGAAAACGCAACGAAGGGCGTAAATAAGTTATTAATTAATTAATTAAAACGTTTGACGCACCCTGTAAAGAAACTTTTAGGACACCCTGTAAGCGCGTAGTAGTACTTTTGTCATGTCAAATAATTCATCTTTGCTGCGCCGAAATGGTTGCAGACAGAGTAGGGAGTGCGTTGCCGCAGCCGTTTGCACCTGCCTGCAGACCGTGATCCGAGAGATGAATCGACTCGGCATGCTGGTCGACCTGTCGCACGTCTCCGAGCTGGCCATGCGGCGTGCACTCGAACAGAGCGAGGCACCGGTTATCTTCTCCCACTCGTCGGCGCAGGCGCTCTGCAACTCCAGCCGCAATGTCCCTGACCATCTCCTGAAAAAACTGGTAAGTGCCTGACTTTATCTTTAGCACGTGGTCTCCATTTTGGTGTTAACACCCCCTCCCACTCGTGGCGTTTCGCAAATATCTCAACAAAACAGCGGCACGGAGCGCCGTTGTTTTGGAACATGGTGTGGAAGTTTCTGACTAAGGTTCTAAACCCTCGCCTGTGTTGGTGTTTTGCCAGCCTCGATCGTAAAAGGGGGCTCAGTTGACCCCCCTGCCGTTTGGCCCCTGATCGAGCTAGAGCTTCGCGGAAGAAACGAGCGTGTTGCTTGTGACGAAAGGAAACAAATGACTCCAATTTTAAGGTCCTAGGTCATTTGTTGACTTCCACAGGTCAGTTCAGTCACTGGCGGATCCAGGCTTGCGTTGGGGGGGGGGGGGGCAACTCATGCAGGAGCCAAACCTAGGGTACCCCCAAATCCTGTTTTCTCATCGGATTTAGGCCACTTATTTTTCGTCACAGCCCTGACACAATGATTTTTTTTTTTAACTAAAAAGAAAAATATATAAATGGTAGCCCACCCGACCCATGCCTTTATATTACTTTGTAAACACTTACCATTGCTTTTGTCGACCAGTTAACCCGCTTCGAGTCAGTGCTTGGGTCCCTTTTCCCTTTGCGGGCCGGGAGGTGGTAAAACACCCCCTGTCTAACTCGGCTCCTGGGCTACGCACTGATTGAACTATGTTTTATTATCGTTTGGGGGAGGGGGCAAACGGGCCACTTTAGGCCTCTGGGAAGGGGCATGGCCCTAAATGCCCCCTCCCTGGATCCGCCAGTGTAAGAGACCATTGGAGCTGCAGTTGGGTACCTCAGACGTCAGGGTACGCCCTCAGATGTATAGGACTCGCATGGAGACGTCTTATGCTATAGTGGACTGAAAGGACCCAAAGGAGCCTGTCTAGGGCTCCCGGAGATAGACATGGGCCCTCAGGAGCCCGCCAGAGCCCCCAATGAGGGATAAGTGAGGGATACCAAGTGCCTGCAATTGCATATTGCATAAGCCATAACGCCTTTACAAATAAATATATTATGTATCAGTGGCAGATCCAAGGGGGCCACATGGGTCATGACCCCCCTTGGTGCCCGGGGCACCACAGGCCTGTCAGGGGCACCACCGGCCTAGCAGGGGCACCACCAGTCCGCCAGGGGCACCACAGGCCTAGCAAGGGCACCACGGGCCTGTGAGGGGCCCCACAGGCTTGTCAGGAGCATCCCAGGTCTGTCAGGGACACCAGAGACCTGCCAGGGGCGCCGCCGGCCTCGCAGGGGCACCATGGGCCTGTCAGGGGCACCAGAGGCCCAGCAGGGGTACCACAGGCCTTACAGGGGCACCACCGGCCTTGCAGGGGCACCTTGGGCCTGTCAGGGGCACCACAGTCCTGTCAGGGCCCAGGGGCACCAGCGGCCTAGCAGGGGCACCACAGGCCTGCCAGGGGCACCACCGGTCTAGCAGGGGCACCACCGGCCTCGCAGGGGCACCATGGGCCTGTCAGGGGCTCCACCAGCCTCGCAGGGGCACCACCGGCCTCGCAGGCATCACGGCATCACGCAGAGGCACCTTGGGCCTGTCGGGGGCATCACGGGCCTGTTGGGGGCACTTTAGGCTTGTCAGGGGCACCACAGTCCTGTCAGGTCCCAGAGGCATCAGCAGCCTAGCAGGGGCACCCTAGGCCCTCAGGAGCCCGCCAGAGCCCCCAATGAGGGATAAGTGAGGGATACCAAGTGCCTGCAATTGCATATTGCATAAGCCATAACGCCTTTACAAATAAATATATTATGTATCAGTGGCAGATCCAAGGGGGCCACATGGGTCATGACCCCCCTTGGTGCCCGGGGCACCACAGGCCTGTCAGGGGCACCACCGGCCTAGCAGGGGCACCACCAGTCCGCCAGGGGCACCACAGGCCTAGCAAGGGCACCACGGGCCTGTGAGGGGCCCCACAGGCTTGTCAGGAGCATCCCAGGTCTGTCAGGGACACCAGAGACCTGCCAGGGGCGCCGCCGGCCTCGCAGGGGCACCATGGGCCTGTCAGGGGCACCAGAGGCCCAGCAGGGGTACCACAGGCCTTACAGGGGCACCACCGGCCTTGCAGGGGCACCTTGGGCCTGTCAGGGGCACCACAGTCCTGTCAGGGCCCAGGGGCACCAGCGGCCTAGCAGGGGCACCACAGGCCTGCCAGGGGCACCACCGGTCTAGCAGGGGCACCACCGGCCTCGCAGGGGCACCATGGGCCTGTCAGGGGCTCCACCAGCCTCGCAGGGGCACCACCGGCCTCGCAGGCATCACGGCATCACGCAGAGGCACCTTGGGCCTGTCGGGGGCATCACGGGCCTGTTGGGGGCACTTTAGGCTTGTCAGGGGCACCACAGTCCTGTCAGGTCCCAGAGGCATCAGCAGCCTAGCAGGGGCACCCTAGGCCCGCCAGAGGCACCACAGGCCTGCCAGGGTCCAGGGGCACCACAGGCCTAGCAAGGGCACCACGGGCCTATCAGGCGCACCTCAGGCTCCCGTGCCCCCCCCCCCCCGGATCCGCCAGTGATGCCACACCACGCGAAACACCGCCAACTACCAGCTGCCGCGCCCATAAACACGTGCCAACAACAGTCTTTTTTTTGAAGGTCGTCTCCGCTCGCGCAACTTTTGACTGACCCTCACTGCTACCATATTGCTTCCATATTATGCTGTGAAAAGCTTTACTTAACCAAGTGGCTTAAAACCTCCATCAAGGTATATTTTCTTAGCAATTTTTCTGACGTTTTTTTTTTGGGGGGGGGGGGCAAACAGGCCACTTTAGGCCTTTGGGGGGGGCCATGGCCCCCGTGGCCCCCTGGATCCGCCAGTGAGTTCAGTTCAGTTATATTTCCTCTGGCCTGCCGCCGTTGGCGATTTCGGCCGAGTTGTATGTCTTGTTGACGGCGAAGAACACTTTCAAATGGGTCCATTTGAGTTCAGCGACGGTGTTCTCGGAATGCGCAACGTTAGAAACACGAACAACAGGTCTTTTTTCCTTTTTTCTTCTTTTTTTTGTGGGCTCAATTTTTTGCCACTTTATCCCCACTTTTATCATTTTGTACACTTAATGCACACATGCACAACACGAGTTTGTAACCCGCGCCGGGCCGGGGGGTGTTTGAACACCCCCTGCATAGGCGCGGGAGCCGGGGGGGGGGCAGTGGGGGCAGCTTGCCCCCCCCCCCCCAACTCTGGGGCCGTGGGGGCGGTGCCCCCACAGCTTTGAGACGGAATACCACACTTTTTTTTGCAAATGTTTTCTTTTTTCGTTGAAAAAGCCGAGGGGTGAAAAATAAGTGGCCTAAAACCGGTGAGAAAACTAGATTTGGGGGTACCCTAGTTTAATCTCTATTATGGTGTGCCCCACCAGTCGGAAAGTAGTTCCCGCGCCCCTGCCCCTGCGGTTTTTTGCAGATTTCCGCGCCCGCCTATTTTGGCACACCTGTTGGTGCATCTTTTCCGCACATGTTGTGAAAATTTCAGGCCCAGGTCGCCTTAGGTCAGGTCACCAGGTCACGCCAAGTGACCTCACCTCAGAAAAAAATAAGAATGCTCGTCATAGCTACAGCGACTGATTGATTGCCTTGAAACTTTCAGCGATTGATTGTAGCAAAATTATCTATAAAATGTAAACCTCGAAATTTTGATATCGATGACCTAAGGTCAGGTCAATTTTGCGGCCTCTCCATTATTACGGAGCGAGCGAAGCGAGCGTAGTCTTTCCTTAGATTAACGGAAATTTCTGAGTATGAGCGGCCGGCCGGCCAGCCGGCCGGCCGTGGTCACGATTCTGCGACGCTTATATCTCAGCAACCACTTGACCGATTTACGCGCGGTAATTTTTGTAGGGTAGCTTCATTCCTTCTACCAAGTATTGGACTATTGCCGATGCATGTGGGTGACCCCTTATGCACGTGCCACATGCAAAACGAAGAGGTGTCACTTTTGTAATTGTTGCAATATCTCGGTAACTACTTGGCCGATTGCGCTGAAAGTTGGCATGTAGGTAGGCACTCACTAGGCAATGCATATCCATGTGCCAGAATTGAGGTGCTGCTGCACGTGCGCACGTGCAGGGGTCGATTCCAGATCTCGAGAACGGCTGGTCCGATTGCGCTCAAATTTGGCACATGGTTAGGGACCGGTTAGTAGGGTGCCGTGCAAAACTCAGTTGGGACCCATTTTGCACGTGCGCGCGTGCAGGGTGCCGCTTCCAGATCTCGAGAACGGCTGGGCCGATTGTGCTCAAATTTGGCACATCGCTAGAGACCGGTCAGTAGGGTGCCGTGCACAAGTCAGCTGGAGGTACCTCGTCGAAATTTCGCACGTGCAAGGCTCACCCTCTCGCTCGCTCCGTTAGTCGCCCCAAAAGGCGTTATACTGGTAAGTCAATGGGAGAAAATTGAAAAGCGTTTGTTTTGCACGAACGCTATTCTAGACACTCTCAAACAGCGAGATTTAGGTAAAATTGACACACTGAACCGAAAAATGGCAACTGTGACCCCTCGTTATGTCCCCGATGTCATCTCAGGTCACGAACAGAATCTAACAGCTTTTCGCTAATAACTTCTGATATAGGCGTGCTAGAGCGCTGATAACGCCTTTGATGTGTTCGGCTTGACGTTGTGGATCGACTGATATGCAACATGACCTTTTCCGGTCAGGTCATGACCTGGACCTGAGGTCAAATTTTCAAGTTGACCTTTTAAGGTCAAATTATTGTTCATTCGACGCGTCTCGACGAGAGGAACACGATGCTGGCAAAAATAATGTCATGACGCTTTTGTGTCAAAAGTTATTGCCGAAAAAAACGCTTTTGGTAAAAACGGCTATCTTTGGAGTTTTTGCCCTCTGGAGGCTAAACCGTCGACCTGAGGTCAAATCTGAGAGCATTACTCAGAAAGGTCTGTAAAAGGGCTATCGAATGCGCTTTTCTGCGGCGCTGTAGCTCTATCGGTTCCCGAGATAGCTGTTGGCAGTTTC